GAGAGAGAGAGAGAGAGAGAGAGAGAGAGAGAGAGAGAGAGAGAATCGCAAGCAGGCTCCACAGTGTCAGCACAGAACCCAACACAGGGCTTGAACTCATGAATCATGAGATCACGATCTGAACCCAAACCAAGAGTTGGACGTTTAATTGACTGAGCCACCCAGGTGCCCATAAGTTAAAAGTGTTTATTAATTGATTTTTTATTGATGGCATGGAGAGATGAGTATTATATTTCTGAGCATGAAAATCCAAGGGCATGCTACCCCTCATCATAATAAAATAATAACATTTATGAGCCGTTATTTATGTTTGTCAGGCATTAAGCTAAGTACTTAATATATATTATATTCAAGTGAAATACACAAATGTAGCAAAACTCTTAATGCCCATTGCTTCTCTCCCTCATTTTTTACAAGCATCGTATTCTCTACAGGGATCAAAAAAACAGTCTGTTTAAGAAGGCCAGTGGCTTAGCACAGCAAACCCCAACATTAGAAACCTTTAATTCACTGATTTTTCAGCTCTTGGGAGGTGGGGTAGGAGAACTGGGGAACATAGATATAAGTATGAGAAAAATCTCTATATTCAGTGTTGCAGCTGTCTTGATTTTTATTTTAAAGTCATGATATCTTACTTTGAAATTTCAGGGACACCTGGGTGGCTCAGTTGGTTAAACTATGAGATCAGGTCATGATCTCATAGTTCGTGAGTTCGAGCCCCATGTTGGGCTCTGCGCTGACAGCTCAGAGCCTGCTTGGAATTCTCTCTCTCCCTCTTTCTCTGCCTCTCCCCTGCTCATGCTTGGTCTCTCTCAAAAATAAAAATAAACATTTAAAAAATTTAAAAAACAAATTTTAAATAATTTTAAAGGAAATAGATCATCAAATATTTATTTTTCTAATACCGGGCATGGATTTTAAAAGATTCTGATAAGCCATTGCTCTTATTCTAGTCTGATTCTTATATTGATTGTATTATGTACTAGAAATTTACAAAGAACACTTCTTCCTTGATTTTATAACTTTTCCCAATTACTTGAAGGACGCAACATTAAGTCAAACATTGAATTCTGATAGATTATCTTTTTCCTCTGTCCCCGTTTCAATGTACTGTTTTGTGGAAGTGGTGAATTTGCTAATTCAAATACTGTTTGGTGTTGAGTAGTCTCTAGAATTGAGGGTTAACAGATTTTGATATTGAAAATCAACTTTCTTGAGGTACAATTTGTATAAAATAAGTTGCAGTCCTTTTAAGTGTACCGTTGGATGAGTTTTGACAAATGAATACATTCATGTAACCATTACCTTAATTAAGATACAGGACCATCACCCCAGAAAGTTCCTGCGTGTCTCTTTGTGGTCATTCTTACCCTTCCTCCCAACCCTGCCCCTAGGCAACCACTAATCTGCTTTTGTTACTGTTCTTCAGTTTTGCCTGTTCTCCATTGGAATAACATAGTATGTACTCTCTTTTGTATCTGTTTTCTTCTGCTTAGCATGATGTTTTTGTGATTCTTACATGTTTGCTACACGTGTGAGTTATTCCTTTTTTTTTTTTTTCCTTGCCAAGTAGTATTTTTTATAACGGATACACGACAGTATGTTTATCCATTCACGTGTTGATGGACGTTAGAGTTGTTTCTAGTTTTTGGCTCTTATGAACAAAAGTGCTATGAATGTTTGTGTACAGTCTTTATGTGGACATGGGTTTTCATTTCTCTTGGGAGTGAAATTGTTGTGTCATGTGTAAATGCATACTCACCTTTTGATTGGAGTGCTCATGTTTATAAGAAATTTCTAAACTGTTTTCCAAAGCATTTGTACCATTTTACACTCCTATCAGCAGTGCATGAGCATTCCAGTTGCTCCACATCCTTGGTAACATTTGATATTATCAGTCTTTTTATTTTTAGCCATTTCTAGTTACTGTATAGTAGTATCTCATTGTAGTCTTAATGGGCGTCTTCCTGATGACTGCAGATGTTGAGCACCTTTACCTGTGCTTATTGGCCATTCAGTATCTTTCTTTGTGATGCGTTTATTCAGATCTTTTATTCTTTTTCTTTTTTATATATAATTTTGTGTTTATTTTTTTTAATATGTTTTATTTATTTTTGAGACAGGGAGAGACAGAGCATGAACAGAGGAGGGTCAGAGAGAGAGGGAGACACAGAATCTGAAACAGGCCCCAGCCTCTGAGCTGTCAGCACAGGGCCCGACACGGGGCTCGAACTCACGGACCGCGAGATCATGACCCGAGGCCGAAGTCGGCCGCTTAACCGACTGAGCCACCCAGGCGCCCCAATATAATTTTATTTTTAAGTAATCTCCACACCCAACATGGAGCTTGAACTCACAACCCCAACTTCAAGAGTCACATGCTTCACTGACTGATCCAGCCAGGTGCCCCAAAATCATTTGTTGTTTTTAAAAGGTGTCCCCTAGGGGCGCCTGGGTGGCTCAGTCGGTTAAGCAGCTGACTTTGGCTCTGGTCATGATCTCGCCGTTCGAGAGTTCAGGCCTGCGTCAGGCTCTGTGCTGACAGCTCAAAGCCTAGAGCCTGCTTCGGACTCTGTATCTCCCTCCCCTGCTCATGCTCTGTCTCTCTCTCTCTCTGTCTCTGTCTCTCTCTCACAAAAATAAATTAACATTTAAAATAAATAAAGTAAAATGTGTCCCCTATTATTGAATTGTAGAGTTGTTGTTGTTGTTTAAATAAAGATACAAGTCCTTTATCAGATATTTGTGTCGTGAATATTTTCTCCTACTCTGTGGCTTGCCTTTTCATTTATCAGTGTTTGGAAGAGCAGATATTTAAATTTTTGAGTCCAATGTGTGATTTTTTTTTTCTTCTATGGTTGATGCATTTTGCATCCTAAAAGATCTCTGCCTACCCTAAGGTCTTGATGATTTTTTCCTGTGTTTTCTTATGAAAAGTTGAAACCTTTGTGTTTAGGTCCATGATTCACTTTAATGTCTCATGTAGGGTTACGAGCGAGGTTCATAGTTTGTGTTTCCTGTACTGTGATATACTTATTCCAGGCTTTCGGTTGTACTAGGCTCACATACTTGTGACATTGCACGACAGTGAGAAATACGTGTATTCATTAACATGCAGTCTTTAACATACCCTTTGTTTTGTGCATCAGACTTACTTAAAAGGTCATGCTCTTTGTACAAAAATCTTTATTCTGAAGAGATTTTTATTTTCTCATCATCACTATACTTGCATTATTTTCCATATTCTGTATATTGATTTTTGGTGGAGCATTTAGATACTGCAAAGCTGAAAGTATTAAATCTCTGGCTAACACAGAGTTCAGGATCTTTAGATCTTGATCTGTGATCAAACAGCCCTGGGTGTCAATCAGGGTTCTGTGATGGGACATCTCTCTTCCTCTGGTTGTGGCCCTCTTTTTCCCGCCTTGCCTTGACTACTTTTGTTTGCTGTCTAGCTAAAAGGAAAACAGTTCTCCTGTAGAATCCAGGTGAGTGTGTGAAAGAAATGAACTGGTTGAGCTCGCAGGTTCTTTCTTTGTCTTTTCTACTTTTTTCTCCTTTCTGTTTATTTTTCCTATGAGCCGGGGTCTGTCTTTGAACTTGTTCGTTTTGGGAGAAGATCTGCCGGTGCTCTTCTTTGTATAGTCAGTTTCCCTTACATAGTCAGTTTTTTCTGAGTAGATTTTTCTGAGAGTGAGATTGGATTTCTCTAGGGTTTACCAGGGGATGCTTCTAGCCTTATGTCCCAAAATACTTGATTTTCTTGGGTTTAAATACTAATTAGAGCACCAAAAAACACAGTGCGGTGGGGAGGATTTTGTGTTACAGATAAATAGCAGAGATGTGAATAGGCTTCCGTTCTGTCTCCTCTCTAATAATTCATCTTTTCCACTTTGCCGTAGCTGTTTTTAATCTTGAGGCAATTCTACTCTACCTGTCCAGTGAGAGACCAACATATATGGCTCTTCGTGATGTTCTTGTGTTTGTTTTGTTTATGGGGTTAGTACTCTGATTTTTGATAAGGGCCTCACATGTCATCTTGTGTTTCTCCAGATAGAATATAGTTCATTACAGTTCATTATTAATATGTAATAATGTCTTTTTCTCTCCATTTTCTCTTCCTTCTCTCTTTACCCTGTGGTTCTTGTGCAGGTCTTGTTCAGCGTTGTGTGATCATCCAGAAGGATGACAATGGATTTGGGCTGACGGTCAGTGGAGACAATCCAGTCTTCGTACAGTCTGTCAAAGAAGGCAAGGCATTTTTTAAAACAGTCTTGTCACTTGGGAGCAAACAGAGTAAGAACAGAAAAGCTTCATGTTTCTTGCGCATAATAAAATAATCACATGCATTGCTGGTCATGTGGCCTGTTGGGCTAGATCAGTCTTTAGTGTCATATTTATAGGTACAAATTTACCCTAGGTGATTTTCTTTGTACTCACTAGGAAGAAAACAGTCTCATATAGTTTTAGAAACCATATGACTCCTTGTTCATGTTTATTCATTATCACTTACAGAAATTTATGGACTTTTATTTTTTTCATGGCACCAGAGATATTTTGGTAGACCAGATTAAAGAAATGGTTATATGCTCAAAAACATCTACTTTTCCCAAGATGATAATAATAATATGTTCTGTTACTCTATGTCAAATACTTTATTTGGGTACTATAGTTGGAGGTAGGTATTTTTCATCCCCATTTTATAGGTGATATTGAGGCTTAGAGTAAGAAAACATAAAATTGACTGATTTTATGGTCACACAACTAGTGAGTGGCAGAGCCCATGTTTTTTTAACCATTTGGTTATGTTGCCTTTTTCAAGAAGATTATCAGTACGTGGCAAATGAATTACATTTTGAGTAATTAATTTTTCTTACAGATGGAGCAGCCATGCGGGCTGGAGTACAGACAGGTGATCGAATCATCAAGGTAAGGAAAAGATGGAATTTATGGTAGATTAAAAAACAGCATATATTAGCCATATTTTGGGTTGGATTTGTTTTTTGGATTGGATTTTTCACTTGGAGTTTTACAAAAACAGTGCATTATATAGGATGTATTTATAAAAAACTTATTTATTTTAAGGTTAATATTATTCTACTGAAGGGCATAATAAAAGACTCGAATAAATGGAGTCTTGTTCTGGGATAGGAAAGTAAGTCAGTTATAAACATCATTTCTCTACAGACTAATCTGTTAGCAAGAAAGTCTCATCAAAATATACTAATATGATTGAGGAGATGTGTCACTACTTGTGAAACTGATGATTCTTCCAAATGAATTTTACAGAGGTACAAGAATAGCTAAAAAAACAAACACATGTTATGTGTATGGGTATGTGTGAGATGAGATGTAAGGATTAATTCAAAGCAAGTGGCTCTAGTCTAGATATAGACCTATCGATCCAGAAACAAGCCTGGAAATCTGACAAGCATGAAAAGAGTGGATTGGTTACTAATTACTCTTTTTTTTAAGCTTATTTATTTATTTTGAGAGAGAAAGAGGGAAAGAGAGCACGCACGCAAGTGGGAGAGGGGCAGAGAGAGGGAGAGACACTTCCAAGCAGGCTCCACACTTGTCAGTGCAGAGCCTGATGCTCTGCCGTAATCAAGAGTTGGATGCTTAACCGATGGAGCCACCCCGGCGCCCCAGTTAGTAATTATTCTTGAGACAGTTGAGTAATTTGAATACTTAAAATCAAATTACTGTACAGGAAAACACACCATGAATGTATTTACAACTACCTGGAAAAAAAATATTTGAAACTTAGTATAGAGTAGGATATCCTTGCTTGTAAAGAGCATTTTTAAATTCCTAAGAAAAGAATAGATAAATAGCTTAATAGAAAAATAGGCAAAGAATTTTATCAGTTCCCCAAAGTAACTGAAATAAATATTATAGAGAATATGTCTCACCTCACTGATAACAAAGAAGTAGAAATTAAAATGGTGAGTGAGGGGCGCCTGGGTGGGTGGCTCAGTCGGTTGAGCATCTGACTTGAGCTCAGGTCATGATCTCACAGTTTGTGAGTTCAAGCCCCACATCAGGCTGTGCACTGATGGTGCGGAGCCTGCTTCGGATCCTCTGTTTCCTCTTTCTCCGCACCTCCCCAGCTTGGGTGCGTGCTCTCTCTCAAAAATAAACAAACATTTAAAAATAAAATGGTAGGTGCAAATATATTTGGTTGTGAGGAATTTTAAAGATTATTGATAATACACATTTGGCATAGTTTAGGTATGGTAAAATGGCTGTTTTCATAAACTTGTGAGTATAAATTGGGTAGAATCTATTTGGATGGAAATCTGTGAATTTGCATAAAAAATTATATACTTTCAAAAAGTATATAACCTTTGACCAGAAACTTTGCTTTTAGGAACTTAAACCTAAGAAAGTAAGTTTACAAATGTGAACTGGTATATATACAGGGAAATTCATTTCAGCCTTATCATATTGAAAATTTGTAAACAGGCAAATGTGCATAAATGGAGGGTGAGAGAAAGAAATTCCATTTCATCTACATCTGTTAAAAAAAGAATGGATTAGGTCTGTGTGTACCTATATCGAAAGATATCCACAGTAGAATAAAAAAGTATTTGCAGAAAAAAAGGCAGATATAATGTATATGTATATGTGCCTGTGTATCTGGTGTGTGTTTGCTAAAATAGTGTCTCACAGATTAAATTTCTTGGTTAATAGTGATCATCTCTGGTGCGCATGGTTAGTATTTTACTGCTGTTTTTGACACTGACATATTTGAACTTGCAAAAATTAGCATTACTTACATCAACAAAAATAATGTTAGATCCGTGTTTGATATTTATATCTTAATTTGGTTTAGTTGAGACTTTGGATAACCTTTCCCACAGTTAGCCTGTCTGAAAATTAATTTTCATTGTAAAGATTAGGTCACGATTGGAAAACTCAAAGTAAATTGAGTATTGTGGAAATATTGCTTATTTTTTTATCTTTCAAAAAAATTAGTATGATTTTGACAAATCAGAGAATTTGTAATTAAAAGCAGAGAAGTCCTTTTTGTTTGCAAGAGTCCTTTACTGTGAAGGACTTGTAAAACCTGTTGCATGGTATATTTTGTCATTTTTCATGGTAAATTGTAATGTCCTTTAAATCAAGGCCTTATTTTGCATTCAACTTCATTTGATTGCTGAGTATACGTTATAGAACAGTGAGAAAAGTGAATATTGCACCCAATACATACATATTTTAATGTAGTTATGTGTACTATGTTATATTATAATGGGTTGTACTATGTATAATAATTCCTGAAGTCGATTTCTCCATTCTCAGTGAAATGTACCTGACATGCACTTTCCATTTTCTTAAAGGTGAATGGTACATTGGTGACTCATTCAAACCATTTGGAAGTGGTGAAGCTAATCAAATGTAAGTGTTATTCTAAGTATTAATTGGTTTCTGAATTCCTTAAAGTAGGGATCAGCAAACATTTTCTGTGATAGGCCAGATAGTAAATATTTTAGGATTTGTGGGCCTTACAGTGTGCTAGTCAACTTTGTCATTGTAGCACAAAAACAGCCATACACAGTATGTAAATGAACGGGTGTGGCTGTGTTTCAGTAAAACTTTATTTTGTCAGAACAGTCTGGGCTGGATGTAGCCTCTTGGCTGGAGTTTGCTTTAACCCTGCATTAAAGGAAAGTCTGAGGCAAAAATTCTTAATTTACTAATAACTATCTTCGGTCCACTTCGTATACATAGTTGATTATAATATCCTTGTCGTTCTTGGTAATATGGTAATACGGAAAGCATATGGTAATATGGAAATTCATGAGTCATCTGAGGGGAAGAGATTGAGAATTGAGATGGAATGACCCAGATGAACTGAAATGGAACTTTAAAAATCATCTGGCATAATCATGTTTCCTCAGATAAGTAAATGATTAAATAAAATGCAGGGTAGTGATCTCTTGGAAATCTCCAGAGTTAAGAATTTAGAATCTTCTGCATCAGACTATTCCACAGTAAAGTAGACTACAATTGGGGCACCTGGGTGGCTCACTCAGTTAGGCATCTGACTTCATCTCAGGTCATGATCTCACGGTTCATGAGGTCAAGCCCGTCGTTGGGCTCTGTGCTGACAGCTCAGGGCCTGGAGCCTGCTTCGGATTCTGGGTCTCCCTCTCTCTCTGCCCGTCCCCCACCCATGTTCTGTTTCTCTCATTCTCTCAAAAATAAACACTAAAAAAAATTTTTTTAAAGTAGACTACAAATAAATAGTTATTTCTAGCTGAGCAGAAACACTACTGTTTTATTTAATCCATTTTTTTTTTCCATAGACTGGACATCTTTTGGATAAATTTAATAAATGGCATTCCTCCTTGGCCATCTTACTGTTTAAAACAACCCTTGAATTCTTTTACGTTTATCAGACTCCCAGTGCTCTAAATGGTCGCTGTGATCATAGTTCTTAATTTCAGTATGTTTTTTTTTTCAACGTTTATTTATTTTTAGGACAGAGAGAGACAGAGCATGAACGGGGGAGGGGCAGAGAGAGAGGGAGACACAGAATTGGAAACAGGCTCCAGGCTCTGAGCCATCAGCCCAGAGCCTGACGCGGGGCTCGAACTCCCGGACCGCGAGACCGTGACCTGGCTGAAGTCGGACGCTTAACCGACTGAGCCACCCAGGCGCCCCAATTTCAGTATGTTTTAAAAAGAAAAGGGACAATCAAAATTAGGTCTGCGTTTATGAATAAATTTGATTATTTATATGATGAGATTGTGATTTATGCATTTTTATGTGCTACATAAATATGATGGCTTATGATAATAACTAAATATATGCCTGATAGCTAACTATTGCAGAGTATAAAAAGATGATTTCTTTAGTTTTTTAGGTTATATATTTTATCCATTCCAATGTAAATTTTACTTAAAAAATTAAATCCTAGCACTATAGCAAAAGATGATTTATCTAATAACAAGAGCCTAGCTAAAAACTTAAAGCATAAAACACTCTGAGTGTCCAACAGATATAAATTTGCAGTGCCTCAAACCTGTGTATACTATAGCATACTAAAGTATACTATACTTACACTGGAGGTCCCCCATGTCCTACTGTGTAATGAATGCATTTTCTAGACATAATACAAGTGATTTCAAATGAAAGCAGTTGAAACATAGCTGAGGAAGGGAAGGGAAGAAATAGGAAGCTAACAGAGGCAAGCACATGGATAAGTAAATAAGACATAGTAGATGACTTTCTCACAGAGAGAAATATAATAAAAGAAAACCTTGAAAAGTATATGTACCTAAAATACCCCCAAATAATAGCATTTGTGACCAATAAGTGTTAAAAAAAATGGTTTTTAGGACCCCAGACACTGAAATAATTGACAGTGAGTTCCATGGACAGTTAAATAGGGAGAAAAGTATGAATGCATTTAAAAGTTCTATTGGAAAGTCTAAGAGGAAGATTTTGTTATTCAAAGGTCAGCTATCTAGAAAAGTCCTTAATTTGAAAGTCTCATTTTTTCTCAATGCTAGATAAATGAGCGTCTGTTGTCGAGTCTTTCTGGTCAGGGTTGATTTTGCTTTCTGTGCTTTCTTCCCCCTGTAATATGCTTAGTGAATTTCTGTCTTCTCCACAGTTTAAAATAAAAACTCACTATTTATTTATTGGGTTTTCTTCTCCAATTTTCGTGGGTTTTTTTGGTCATATGCATTTTTTAAAGTTAATTTAAAAGTGCATCATGATATTCTAGAAAATTGGTTAATCCCTGCCTAATTATAGCGTCTTAAAATAGGATCATTCCTTAAATTTACATTTGAGAAATTAATTGAACATAACCATTAGTAGATGGTTGCTACTAACACACTCTTCCCTAAATTAAAAACAATTCTTGGGACTAGAAATTTTATTTGCTTTTATGTAATATCTGATATTTTGAGTGGTGATTTGCTATCTGAAAATGGCACTGTTCTTTTAGATTTTTAGGGGAGTAACAAAAGAGAAATGACAAGTTGGATTCTTTTTTTCTGGAGCGATGGTTAGCAGATCATGCTTGCTTACATAACTGGATCTTATAGAACTGTCAAAGATGAAGTAGTGAAATGCTGTAAAAAAAAGATGACAATGTTCTTTTTCCTTCCCTCCCCTTCCTCTATCTACCCCTCCAAAGCTGGTTCCTATGTAGCTCTCACTGTTCAGGGACGCCCACCTGGGTCGCCCCAGATTCCACTTGCCGATTCTGAAGTAGAGTCATCAGTCATTGGACATATGTCTCCCATCATGACATCCCCTCATTCACCTGGAGCATCTGGGAACATGGAGAGAATTACTAGTCCTGTGCTCATGGGGGTAAGAGGGGGAAAACTTCTTTATAAATGCTCAGTTTATATAATGGTGCCTTTGCTTTATATTAAGACTTTTGAAGTGTTGAGCTGACAAATTCAAGTTCAAGATAGTAGAAAACAGCTCCCTAATATAAAAATTTACATAATACTTTGAAATGATTATAGGGTATTGGGATAACACAGTTAAGTAACAAATATTTAACACCTGCCGTATACAAAACAGGAAGTCATTCACAAAAATACAGTTAAGATACCCTATGTTCAAGGTCCTTAGTTATCTTAGAATATATAGTTTAAGAAGACAGAGGTATTTTTGTTTGTGTATTGTTGTGTCCCCAATGCTTAAAATATTGCTCGGCATACAGTAGGTGCTTAAACCTTTGTTGTTTGAGATAGAATCAAGGGTATATGAGTAATTACAATACAAAGGCAGAACGTAGGCATTATGAAGGGGAAAATACTAAGTTCTGTGACAATTCAAAGGGAGGAAGTCCATCCAGTTGTAGTAAGGAAGGACTTTATGGAAGGCTATTATTTGAATTGGACCTTGAAAAATGGGTATCACTTAAGTGGTGGCAGTGGGAGAAAAGTAGCCCAGGTAAAAGAAGTAGAATAAACAGAAACAAAGAGCCAAGAAAGCACCAAGTGTCGGGGGGAAGTTGCCAGGACTCTCGTTTGGCCGGTGCCTATTAAGGCTTGAAGTAGTGGGAGATGAGGCTTGAAAAAGGTAAGACTATTTGAAAAATCACAACTACCAGACTCATTGACATGTAACTGGCTGGGCAGTGAGAACGTATTAAAATCTGGGGGGAGCGAGAGAGTGATTTTAGGAAGGCTAATTAGATAAAATATTATAGGGTTGTGAAGCAAAGAGAGAGGAGTTAGGGAGCTGTCTTAATATTTCAGGCAGGAAGTACTAGGAGTCGTGCGTGGGGATTGGTAATACAGATCCAAAGGATGGAAAGTGTAAGATCTTGTTCTTGTACTTAAGGCAATTTCATTTCTCCAGCTAATAATCAGTATTTAATGTTTTCTTGAACCTAGTTTAGTAAAAGTGAAATAAAAGGGCTGAAATTTCTCAATAACCTTCTAAGCGTCACGTCTAATAGCCTGTCTTCATAACTGCTATTTATTTTAGCTTCACTTTCCCCGTATTGGTTCTTTTTTGTTTGGTTGTTGTTGTTGTTTTTTTTATCTTTTTTCTAGGAGGAAAACAATGTGGTTCATAACCAGAAAGTAGAAATTCTGAGAAAAATGTTACAGAAAGAACAAGAACGGCTGCAGGTACTAAATTAGAAATGGGGCTGTTTACAGGCCAGTGGAAATGTGAGTGGGCATAGTTGAGTTGATATTTGTCATGATCACAATCACACAGTATTGTAATCAATGCCATCTGCTAATTTATTAAGAATGGACTTTTTCTATATTATCTTGACATAAGTAATTAATTCTCAAAATATTTTTATAACTTTTCAGTTATTGCAGGAAGATTACAACCGAACACCTGCCCAAAGATTGCTAAAAGAGATCCAAGAGGCCAAGAAACACATTCCTCAGCTGCAAGAGCAGTTATCCAAAGCCACAGGCTCTGCTCAGGTAGCATCGCTGTTAAAAATGCTACCCAACTTTTTGCAGGAGATTTTTCTTCTGGGAATGTGTTCAGTTCAGAGGGTTGCAGTTGCCTTTTTTAAAAGTGATTTTTTTTCTAGCCTAGGCCAACAGGATGTCCTGTGTAGCATGTTACAGAAATAATGATGAACTAAAAGAAATGTGGGCTTCTAATTCTCTGCTTGCTCATGATATCATGTTTCTTTGTTCCGTAATAACTTTAAAAAGAATTGAGTGCTTTTGCTTTGATGTAACAAACTACCAAAATGTATTCAGACGCATATATTTACATTTTTGAGACTCATTCTGCCATTTTGTAACAGAATGGCAGTTAAGTTTTTAGGAACAGATTTTATAAAATGGCAGGCATTATGCTAAATACAGAGACAAGCGTTTTCTTGCTTAATCTTCACAACAAGCCTCCAAGATTAGATACTACTACTGTTTCCCCCCATTCTACGTGTACACTTAGAGAACCTCAGAGAGAGGAAATAACTTGTCTGAGGTCGTGTACCTCAAAAGCAACGGAACTGGATTTAAACCCAGTCTGATGAGTTCAAAGCACTTTCATATTGTTTACAACTATATTTTTACTGGAATTTTAAACTAGATTTAAACAGAGTTTGTTACATAGGTATAAGTTATGGAGATGATGGTCTCATTAGAAAAATAGCTTAACCGGATTTATATTCTGTAATATTCATGTTTGGAATATGAAAGGCTCCTTATAATTTATCTTAAAGCAAAACGGACAAATTACCTGCACCATTTAAACTGAGTAAAAGCTCTTGATTTATCATGCTTCCTGAGTCTATAAGTGAAAAACACTGGTTCATAGAAAGCCGCAGATTCTTTGAGATCATCTAGCCTCATCTCATTTTGAAGTCAAAAAATCATGCGGTTGAGAAAATAAGGGGCTACACTGGTTAAGTGACTTACACAAGGTCGCACAGCTGTCAGGTCTCCTGACTTCCTGGTTTGGTGTCCTTTCCATTTACACGGTATTTTTTTTTTTTTTCATTACTTTTAGTCCCATTATCTCTATGAAATTTTGAGTCATATGCCTCAGTAATGTTGACAGTTTTATGTTGTTATAATTACTGAGCGAAGACAACATTCTTATTCTGTTCAAACAATAAAAACGTGCTTCCTGATCTAAAAGCCTGTAATAATTTATATTATAGTATTGTGTCCCAGAATTGGCAATTTTTTGAAATTTTAAAGTGTTAGAAGGTAGTTAACCAGAATCTATAGTGTAATAATCTTTGCTGTAATGGGCAGGAAATATGAATTCTACAATTTAACCTTTTTGTTCTCTTCAGAAGTTTGAACTTTTATTCTCTTTGCTAAATTCAGATCATGCCATTTTAGAACCACAGAATTAGTAACTACTGATGCTTTAAATTTTTAAAGGTTTAAACTTTCTTGATCGCATCAAACTGGCCAGCTTTTACCAGTCTCCGTTTAGATTGCAGCGTGAGTCTGTTTCTTTAGGCAGTCAGTAATGACTTTTTTTTTTATTGTGTTGGTGTGTTTGTGTGTGTGTGTGTGTGTGTTTGTGTGTTTAATCTGTTTTAGGATGGAGCTGTAGTTACGTCCTCCAGGTCTTTAGGTGACCCCCCGACAGTCGGTGAGGTAGAAGCAGACCCTGGTGACGGACTAGGGAGAATTGACTACAGCAGCGGAGATGCTTCTCGACCCAGTAGTGACAGCGCAGAAGTAAGTGTTCTACGTCTTGGTCTTGTATTCTTCTTTACAGCTCCTTTCCATATTTGATTTTAAGTTACGTGAATAAGAGGTGTTCTCTTATACTTTCTTTTTATCACCACCGCCTTTAATAGAGCAATCTGATGAGCAGAAATCCTGGCCACTGTTGTATATGAGCTTTTAATTCCAGAGTTCACTTTTTCCCTTAGACACACATTGCCAAATGTTTCTTTTGAGGAGGTGGAATTTCCCAGCAGGCCTCTTGTTTGTGGGTTGAGAAGTTAATAATGCTAGTGTTTTTTTACTGAACCAAGAAGCCAACTGTTGATATCTTTAAGTGCATGTTAATATTCCATTTGTGGTCAGAGTGACTCAGTCTTGAATCATGGGGCACTTTGCCATTACAAAGAGGAAAAGCCTTAGTCCTGTTAGATAGACTTGAGTTAATAGCCCTTGTTTAGTAATGCTTTCTTGATTAACCCCAGAATTGCCAGATAAACATGGGCATTTGTTAAGAAGATCATAAGAAAATATTTCAAATTGAATATGATGTAGCACCATAGTCATACGAGTACTTAAAAGCTAAGTTCAGGGGCGCCTGGGTGGCGCAGTCGGTTAAGCGTCCGACTTCAGCCAGGTCACGATCTCGCGGTCCATGAGTTCGAGCCCCGCGTCAGGCTCTGGGCTGATGGCTCAGAACCTGGAGCCTGTTTCCGATTCTGTGTCTCCCTCTCTCTGCCCCTCCCCCGTTCATGCTCTGTCTCTCTCTGTCCCAAAAATAAATAAACGTTGAAAAAAAAAAAAAATTAAAAAAAAAAAAAAGCTAAGTTCACTGTTGCTTACTCAGCAATACTTTGTAAATGGTATGCAGTGATAAGAATAATGACTTAAAAAAGTAGACCACCCTCTTTAAAAGTGAGGAGGAAAATAGTCTAAACCAGTGTTTTGGAAACTGTAGATCATGGAGTCAGTTTGTTGGATTAGGGCTAGCATTAAAAAAGAAAGAATAGTATAGGAAATAATGCTTTGCAAAATGTAGATGAGGTAACTGTTACTTCTTGTGACTTTTATTATATACACATGTATGTGTGTGTGTGTGCGCGTGTGTGTGTTCGTCCATATGCTGGTTAACAATGTAAAATTTCTTTCTCTTTTTAAATTTTTTTAACGTTTATTTTATTTATTTTTTGAGAGACAGAGCATGAGCGGGGGAGGGGCAGAGAGGGAGGGAGACACAGAATCCGAAGCAGGCTCCAGGCTCTGAGCTGTCAGCACAGAACCCAATGAGGGGCTTGAACCCACAAACTGCAAGATCATGACCCAAGCCAAAGTCGGACGCTCAACCAACTGAGCC